TATTTATATATATATATTTATATATATATATTTATTTATTTATATTTATATTTATTTATTTATTTATATTTATATATATTTATTTATTTATATATATATATATATATTTATTTATATTTATATATATATATTTATTTATATTTATATATATTTATATATAGAGTTGTGTTAAACATATTTGACAATGACATTTGTAAATCATAGCAAAAGTAAGCTTGAACATGTAAGTATTGCTTCAGTTTAGATCAATACTTTCCACCATCTATCAGATTTTCATCTTGAACCTTAAAAAGTACATCCGCATCAAAATTACATATAATGCGTATTTTTTTTATTTTTTATTCTAATGTCCAATGCATGTGAGTTGTTGTGAGATTTCGATATATGCTTCTTGTTCCTTTGTCCAGCTGAAATCATGGTTCATCAAAACCCACGAGGATATTTTTCCTTGCTTTCATTACTTGATACGTCCTGGAACCTTCCGGTTAGTTGATAGTTGGTCAATGAAGCTCATTATGTATAAGCCGCAATCTAATCTGATTTACAAAGAAATTCATGGAATGATTATGAGTATTAAAATGAAATGAAGTGTGTGGTACAAACTATTTCTATAACTGTATCAAATTATTCATATTTTTTCTGAAACTGCAGTAAGCACAAACTATACATATATAAAACTAAAATGCTTTTAATTTTATAATGTACGATGTTGGTTTCTGTTATGCACAGGTTCTGTCTTCTTTGACTTGGAATTTAAAGTCACTTTTAATGGAATTGATTTCCTTCATTGTGGTTTGAGTTGAATCCATAGCATTTGAATTACTTGTTGATTTTCTTGCTTTATCGAGCCAATATTGAACAAAGTGGCCCTACAAAAATTTATAATGTAATAATAAGATTCTTGTTTTCTATAAATATGACAGAGTTTTTGGTTGTGCGTTTTTGCTTACCACTATTGCCGCATTTTCCCAGTAGCAATCAAAGTCTAGATCTTCATCTGTTGTGCTTTGTTAAAGAGAATTGTAGTGAATCATTTCTGCATTTTTTGTGTCCAAAACTAATAAGGAGAAATGATTGTAATGAAACAATCGGAAGAAAATCTTTGATACTTTTCCATATTGGTCCATCAATTGGTTGTAGAGCATTTCTTTGTTTCGCAGAGTTGTTTCAATGCTTTGTTTATTGATGTTGTGCTGTTGAAAATGAAAATCATCTAAAATCATAATTACATATTAATTGTTCTAATTTTTATATGTATATGTAAATATTTTTTGCAGAATATTAGTTGTTTTGTTTGCTCACAAAGATTGTTGTGGAGACATAGAAGTTCATTTGTTTCGTGATGTTCTCTTTTTCTCTTTTCAGGTAGCAGAAAGAATCAACAATCTGAGTTTATGTAGGTCTATTTGTCATCAAATTGTGCAGGTTTTCTTTCAACACCATTATTCTGTAATAGTTGAAATTTGTAGTTTCAGCTGTCCAGTATTCATCGCTGCAGGACAGTGCAAAAGTATTAGTTATACAATAATTCGTCAGTGCTTATAAAGTTATGGGAGTGTGAAAAAACTTCAGTTAAGAGTTTTTTTTTTTTTTTTGTATTACTTACATGTTGTCTGTTGATCATAATTGAGTTATTCTTCTTCTATCATCTGGTTTCAGTATCTTGTACACTTGAAGTTGTGTTTAATTCACACTGCTATCTATGTGATTTGTTGCTGGAAGGTTATCTAGTTGTGAAAAAGGCTCATCTTTTAAATCTAGGTTGAATGATGAAATTTCACCCAAGACTTTCTTTCTGTTTTTTGTTGTTGACTTTGTTGCTTTTTGGCTAAATGTTTGCTTTTTGACTTGTAGATCATTCTTGTTGAGAGCATTGTTACTTTTTAGAGCTCAATATATGTTTCTTGTTCTCTTTCTTTTGCCATTGGTGAAACATTTTTGTCCAGCAATGTGTCAAATCTGTCACTATGCTCATTTGTTTGTTGTATTGCCTCTTTTTGCACTATTCATTCTTCAATTTGTTGCTTGTTTGATTCTGAAATTGATTTGGCATTTTCCTTTTTCTTTCTCTTTGAAACTGGTTTGTCATTTTCCTTTTTCTTTCTCTTGATTGTTGTTGGTGGTTGGAGTGTTTGGCATCTTTTCTTCTGCATCTTTGATTCACAATTGTTCTGTTCTTTAGGTTGTGTCTCCCTGTTCCTCTTCCTTTGTAGTGGTTGTTTTTTTTTTTTTGCACCTTTTTCTTTGCACTTTGCATTGGTTCTCCAACTTCTTCTTTAGTAGTGGTGTCAATCTGTAGATGAATTGTCTCCTTCTTTATACATGATAAGTTTTGTACTTCTCCAAGCATTTTCCTTTGTTCTGTCTTCTTTGTTGTTTTGGATATCATTTTGACATTGGCTTTGGTTGAGTTTGACATTTGTACAATTATTCTAACTGAAATCATCTGTCAATATAGTTTTTATTAGAATGCAACTTGATTGTAAACAAATAAAAATCAGTATGAGTACACAATTATATCTGAAACATACCAAGGTGAATTACTATTTATGGAAATAGAAAACATTTTTATAACTGTATAAATCTTTATAAGATTTAACTAAATAAATTAGAAATAAAAATGTACAATAGTAGGTGTATTATGTGTAAGATCTGGAAAAATTGCAATACTATTTATAAATGAAGCAATTGTAAACTGTTTCGTAAACACTGTTTATTAAACTTTAAAAAACACAAACTATTTACTAAATGTACAAATTATTAACAGACAATAACACTAGTTCGTGTAATAGTGTAATATATGTTTATACTTGTTCGTGAATGCATCCCAGATTTTACTATTTCCGTACATTTCAATTCTATTTACAAATGAAGCAAATTGTAAACTATTTCGTAAATAGTGTTTATTAAACATAAAAATCGTGAACTATTTTACTCAAATGTAAAAATTACAAACAGAGAATCACACTAGTTCGTGTAATAGCATAATGTATGTTTATATATTGAACAATTAGCTAGTAAATAGTCTTTTTTGGGTGGATCTGTGATGGATTCATACTAAGAGTAAATAACAAAATAAATTTAAGCAAATAGTATAATCTGGGTTTTGTTTAAGTTGATGCATGTTATTCTATATGCTTGATTCCAGTAGATGTTAGTTATATAAACAATGAACCGTATGATTTTCTGCGACCAAGTTGCTTAGCAAAGTTGAAATTTGCATGAATTCGTCCGTAAAAGAACTGGAATGATGTACGAAATCGGGAAATGAGGATGGATGATTTGAGCTGGGGGCTAGGTTTCTGGTTTTTTTTTTATAGTGCATGTAGTTTCTTCATCATGAATGGCTTATCTGTGCGTGAAAATTGGAGTTGGTGTTAGGGAGAGAAAGTGAAGTTAGTGCGAGAGTGAAATGATGATTTTTGCTAGGCGTTAATTATGCGTTAAGGATGGGAAATTTGGGTGCTGATTTGGAACTGGGAAAAAAAAAAACTATTATTTTTCATTTTTTAGATATATTGTGTACATGTATTTCAGAAACAGTTTAAGTTATCTAGTTTTTTGTTTTGCATAAATTTATCTAATTTGGTAACTATATTTTTTGGATAATAAAAGGGAACTTTAACAAAAAAGAAGTGTCAAAATGTAAGCATGTGAAATTTTTTAATATAGTTCTCATTCTTATAAGTTATAACTCAAAGAATCAAGTATGTGAAGTTGATTGGTTTCATACTAAACTTTACTTCTTTTTCATTTTTACATGGTTTCTTTAGATGAGTAATGGTGTTAGGCCCCCTAGGGCAAAAAAAATTATAAAATGTACGCAAATATGGGATGGGCACCAGCATACAAGCCTACCTGAGCTCGAGGTTTTGTATGTAGATATACATTGATATAAAATGTAATTTGTAAAACTCATGCTAATGTAATAAAATCCTCATCAAGAATGTCATCATATTGACCAAGTTTATTTTGTCGTCTTCTGTCTTCAAGTATCTTCTTCAGTCCATTTGCATAACTATTCTCGTGATTCACAAGTGTAGTTGCAATTTGAGCTCTTTTGGCAAATACTTCTTCTTTCTCAAAGGTGGCTTCTATTGGTTTGCCCTCTTGCACTTGGTTTGCAAATTGAATGACAAATATGCCACAATCCAATCTGCATTTTTTTTTTGGAAAAACAAATAAGTATGATAGATAATGATATCATATTATAACATTCGATGACATATTAAAAGTGAAAAATGAAACTATTTATTGTTCGTAACACTGATATGCAAACTGAAACTATATTATGACACTATTTTGCAAAGTCTAAATTTATAGTATATTTTCCTAGAATGATTTTGTTTTCTGTTTTTTGTGTCTCATTTCCATATATTTGTAGTTAGATGACATATAATTACAAAAAAAATGAACTATTTGTTGATTTGTAATACTGTTTCATAAAGTGTAAAGAGTGAAAAATCAACTATTTCTGAAACTTCTTATGATATTATTTTGCAAACTGCAAACTATTTTTCAAGTATGAGTCTTGTGTTTGTATATATGATTTTCATGGTCCTTCTTATGTGTTTGAATGTATAAATTTGATTGAAAAATATAGAGATCAACTTGTTGTTTGTACTTACGAGTCCTCCTTTTGTTGTGCGCAAGTTAAGCATCTTTGAATATCTATTGTGAGGTTGTTGTCTCCTTTGAAATCTTTGTAAAATGCTTATATTTTGTCTCTGTACCAAACAAATAAAACTAACAAAAAAAACAAAAAAATAAATTGTATTATGAAGTTTGATTTTTCCTATCAGCATAAGAATATAGTTTGTAATTGAGTTATAGTTTTGTTCTTACCACTTGCACAGCATGGTCAAAGTATTGGTTTGTATGCCTATGTACCCTCGGTAGTTTGGAATTGTAGTGTGTCATTTTTCCATTTTTAATGTCCCAAACTACCAAGCTGAAGTGGAAGTAATGATTGATCCGTATGAAGACCTTTCCGACTTTATCCACATTATCTTGTAAGACTGTCTTCAATGTTTGGTCAATGTGCTCCTGATCACTCTTGCTTTTTTCAATCTCCATATCATTCTAAACCAAGAATACACATTTAAAGTTTTAAAATGAATGCAAGGCCTTTTGTAGGAGGCAAATATACAAAGCAAACTGAACTAATATCAAAGTGAACTATTTAGCAAAGTGAACTAGAAAACCACACTTTGTTACCAAAGCAAACTGAACTACATATCAAAGTGAACTATTAGCAAAGTGAACTAGAAAACCACACTTTGTTACCAAAGCAAACTGAACTATATATCAAAATGAACTATTTATCACAGTGAACTAGAAAACCACACTTTTTTACCAAAGCAAACTGTTTGGCACACTTTTTTTTGTAAACAAAATTGTTTGGCACTTACAAAACTGAACTATATATCAAAATGAACTATTTATTATAGTGAACTAGAAAACTACACTTTTTTTTGTAAACAAAACTGTTTTGGCACTTACAAAGATGAATGAAGGAAGATACAGATTTTGTTGTTGCCCTATTTTTTATTCGTTTTCTGCCATTGTGTAGAACGAAGCATCAATTATGTTGGCGTCGATTGCTCCATCCACAAACAATGACGTCATATCTATTTTTAGGACAACAAGGTCAATCGCCATGGACCTTTGCCTTGGTTGCATCCAGAAGTAGTCCCTGTATCAGAAAATAAAACGTATTATATATCTATGTGTATATGTGTGTGTGTGTGTGTCTATGTGTGTGTCTGTGTATACACATGTATTAAGTTATGATTAATAATGTAAACTTACATTTTTTCTTGTCTGTAATATTCCTTGAATTTTTCTTTTGTCTCATCTTCAAGTAACTTGTACGCCTTTGTTGATGCAGGTAGATGATACCGTTTGTCAAGCTTTTGCTTTGCAGGTTTCTTTACAGCCTTCTTTGCAGGTTTGTTAGCTGTTTCTTTAGCAATTGGATTTAAGGGTGATTCAACCTTTGGCTCCTCCTTTCCTTTCTCAATTATTGGTTCCAACGGTTGGCTTTTTGACGAAACAATTGAAGGGCTTTCACTATCACTCATAACATATATGTATTTTGACTTCTTTTGTTTTCTCTGGATGGGGATATAATCATACTGTGGATCAACATTTGGTTTACGATCATCCCTCTTTCGAATATTTTTAACCAGTGTTCTTGTCTTCTTTTTGGCAGTCTCTTTTCCTTGCTTTTCAGGATCCTTGATAGTTGGAGTCTACATTTGAACATCTTGTTGAACTCCAGAGGTTCCTTTTGCAGTGGTAGTGTCTTTTCCTTCATGTTCTTGATCCTCCTTAGCTTGATCCTCCTCATTTTCATCTGGATCATGATCAGTTGTATGCCTTTGTTTTGGATCCTCCATAGCCACATCATTTTCAGTTGCATTCTCTTGAACTGGATCCTCAGTAGTAGTATCCTTATCATGTGTATGCTCTTCAACTTGATCATCATTATCTGGATCTTCTTTAGGTGGTTCATCCTCTTCTGGATCTTCCTTGGTTGAAGCATTTAGATCTGGTACTATTGCTTGATTTTCCAGTAACTTCTTTTTCAAACTTCCAATTTCATCCAGAAGTTTATTTACTTTCATAGAAGCTGATGTGTTCTTTAATTGCAACTGTTTCATTTCAAATTTCATTGAACTAATCTTCTGCTTGTCCTCATGTCGTTCTTGCAGAAGCTTTTCAATGTTTCTGTTGAGGGCTCCAGTTGTTTGATTCATTACAATTGAATCTGTGTGTAGGTTGTCGAGTGCATATATCATCATGTGACTGAGGACTAGATACCTCTTTTGATCCATGTTCGCACATCTTTTAAACTTTTCAAAACCTTCCACACCTAATGTGTTATCAATCCCGATGAAGTCCTTTTGATAAATTGCATCAAATTTTATCAATTCTTCTTTGTACAGTTGATCAAACTGTAACTAAGCTCCAGTGATGGTGATGCTTTAATCTTCTTGAGCTCCAACTTCAGTTCTCTTCCATTTCCTTCACATTGTCTTCTTTTCCTTTTTCTTGGAAGACTCATTATTTTGTTCAGGATAAGGAATGACATTACGTTCTTCTTGGTTTATGTTGGAATGCTCCTCTATTGGTTCTTCAGAACAAGGAATACCACGACCAATCGGCTCATTTGATTCAACACAAGGAATGTCACCACCAATCTGCACAGTGACACATTAAATAGCTGTTAAATTACATAATAATGTCATTGTTTCGTAAACATTGTTTATTAAACTTTAAAAAACGCAAACTATTTACTGAATGTACAAATTATTAAAAGAGAATCACACTAGTTTGTGTAATAGAATAATATATATTACTGTTTATAGAAATGCTAAGAGAAAGTATACATACAACGTGAAATCTAAACTATTCCTATATCATTATTATAACACTATTTCTGAACTTGTAAACTAACAATATTAGTAGTATGGCATTATTTTCTGGATTTTGTGTTATTACATTATCGATAGATCACTATTTATTGAAATGCACTTTTCTTTTAGACTGCAAACATGAACTCTTCAAGAAATTTAGAAACTATTGCTGGATTTGACACTATTTCTATTTTATATAAATGACACTATTGCTAGATTTGTTGTATTAGAGATTATGCAGGTTTCATTGTTGGTACAAATGCAAAGTTGAATTATTATTGAACTTCAAATTTGAACTATTTCTGTATGATTATGAAGCCACCACTTCTGAAACTTTAAACTGTAAAGATCATTATGTTATGAAACTGTACAGTGCAAAAATATATTGTTTATTGAAATACTTTTATTATTTGTCCTTACCTCAATTTCTTCAACTTGAATGTCTCTTATTGCTTTGTGGATTTTCGTTATGTCTCATCTTCCAATGGCAGGAATCATGTTTTCTCGCCCACTTATTGTCTCCACCAGATTGGTGTGAAGACAAATCCAATATTGTATGAAATAAGAACTTTGAATTACTTTATTGTGTAATTTATAAGACAGAATTCATGTTTTTAAAATATAGTTCTTATTTCTTACCAAAATAAGGGTAGTGCATCCACTTGTTGTTGCTAATTCTTCTCCATTTTCCCTCTTTTTCTTCGATTTGTTAATCCTCTTGAACAAGTAGTCCCTCACTCCTTTTACCCAGTTGTATTTGCTGATTTGGTCCAATGCCGCACAAATTGTTATGGAGCTCCACGTGATGTAAGTTCCAGAGGTTGCAAATAAGAGGGATTGTAGCAGATGCACACATATGATTGAAGCAGTAGCTTTTGCCCCTTCAGAAGTTTCGTCTTGAATTGATTTTTGGTACGCTTCAAGAATGTCCTTTTTTCACTATTTTTTGGTTCACGAAATATGTTTTGACAAAGTTGTCCTTCATGTTCTTTGTGAATTTGTCTGTGTTTGGTAGTTCAACCCCTTGGTTGTTCAATCCAAATATTTCAACAACGTCTTCACTTGTTATTGCTTTTGGCTCATAATCTCCAAATTTGAACTTTTGTTGCTTGGAGTCATAGCATTGTATAATCTTGATCAAATCCATATCAGACTTCTTTTTTCTTTCCGTTGCAACGATTTCATCATCCATGTAAAACTTGATCAGACTCCAAAATGGTGTCTTGGCCAAATGATTGCAGACATCATGGCGTTGTTGAAGCATTGGTTTATACAATTGCATTGAATTTGCAAACTCGAAAACATTGCATCTATATTGCACATAAGAAGTTGCAGGTCTTTTATTCTCTTTCTTATGTGGACTCTTTACAACGAAAGTCTTCATTCTTGGTTTCTTTGCTCCGTCCATCTGTAAGAATAAACATAGTTTAATTATTACAACTATTTTTTGTACCTATATCAAAATATACCACAATTTTTTTATTATGAAAGTGAACTATGAAAACACATTAATTCTGCATTCACATCAAAATAGGTTACACTGTTCATGAAATAGAACGAAAATAAAATTATGTTGTTCCTTAAATTAGAACAAAACTACACCAGAGTACTTTGTGACACCGAACTAATAAATGTAAACTATTTAATGATCCATATTTGTATAGACCACACTATTTATCAAAGTGAACTAGAAAACCACACTTTTTTATGAAAGCAAACTGAACTATTTATCAAACTGAAGTAAAAAACCACATTTTTTTACCAAAGCAAAGTGAACTAGAAAACCACACTTTTTTACCAAAGCAAACTGGACTATTTATCAAACTGAACTATTTAGCAAACTGAACTATTTATCAAACTGAACTATTTATCAAATTGAAGTAGAAAACCACATTTTTTTATCAAAACAAATTGAACTATTTATCAAAGTGAACTAGAAAACCACATTTTTTTACCAAAGCAAACTAAACTATTTATCAAAGCGAACTAGAAAACCACATTTTTTTACCAAAACAAACTGAACTATTTATCAAAGTGAACTAGAAAACCACACTTTTTTACCAAAACAAACTAAACTATTTATCAAACTAAACTATTTAGCAAACTGAATCATTTAGCAAACTGAATTCTTTATCAAACTGAAGTAGAAAACCACATTTTTTTTTACCAAAACAAACTGAACTATTTATCAAACTGAACTATTTAGCAAACTGAACTATTTAGCAAACTGAACTATTTATCAAACTGAAGTAGAAAACCACACTTTTTTATCAAAACAAACTGAACTATTTATCAAAGTGAACTAAAAAACCACATTTTTTTACCAAAGCAAACTAAATTATTTATCAAAGTGAACTAGAAAACCACATTTTTTTTTTACCAAAGCAAACTGAACTATTTATCAAAGTGAACTAGAAAACCACACTTTTTTACCAAAGCAAACTAAACAATTTATCAAACTAAACTATTTAGCAAACTGAATCATTTAGCAAACTGAATCATTTATCAAACTGAAGTAGAAAACCACACTTTTTTACCAAAGCAAACTGTACTCTTTATCAAACTGAACTATTTAGCAAACTGAACCATTTAACAAACCGAACAAGAAAACCACAATTTTTTTACTAGAAAACTGAACTATTTATTGATCTATATCTGAATAGATCACAACTGGAAAACCACACTGATTCTGGATCCACAACAACATGGCCACACTATTTATCAATCAAAATAACTCAAAGTACTTACGAAACGTAAACTTAAAATACTGAAAGTATTGATAGATTTACATCAAAGTAGGGCATGCTATTTAAGAAAATGAACTAAAATACAATATTGATTCTGAATCCATACTGTTTATCAAACAGAAACAAAAAACTACACTATTTATCAAACTATACTGTTTGTTGAATGTACAAATTATTAACAGAGAATCACACTAGTTCGTGTAATAGCGTAATATATGTTTATACTCGTTCGTGAATGCATCCCAGATTTTACTATTTCCTTACATTTCAATTCTATTTACAAATGAAGCAAATTGTAAACTATTTCGTAAACATTGTTTATTAAACTTAAAAATCGTGAACTATTTTGTAAACACTATCTATTAAACTAAAACGCCACCGGAATAGAATGTTGATTATATTTAAGTTATTTAAGCAAAGAAACCAACATATGAGGGCAAGAAAATACCATTTAAATGTTATAAGAAAACGAGCAATTGTCAAAGTGAAGTAAAAATATACCATTTTGCAGAAACATTGCTCATTCAATGAATTTGAAGCATGCAAACTTACATATTACTGTAAAATCACCGAAAATATCAAAAATTTTGTGGTACGTACCTCTGTTTCTTCTCTGTGGCTTTTATTTCCCAATTTTTTTGTGTGTTTTCGTCTGGATGCAAATCAGAACTTTGAACTGGAAACATAATTCATTTTTTAGAATCTCAAACATGCAAATGTACATATTTAGTAAATTAAAGTAAGAAATCATCAAGAATATA